TTTTTTTTTTTTTTTTTTTTTTTTTATGCTATGTAGTATGTACACGTGCAATTTACCAATTTTTCTTTCTGTTTTTTTGTTGCTATGTTTGTTTTGCTGGTGAAAGGTCTGTCAAAAGGTCTGCCATCACGTGTGTGGTCTTGTTGTCAGCGGAAGGGATGCTGGCCCTGTTGTTAGCAGTTGGTGGTCCCCACCATCAGATGGAGCATCACCAGTAATGAATCCGACCTACAGCCGACATAGGGGTAGCTCTCAAGCTGTGTGCTCCTCACTCAGAGCATCCAGAGATTTCCGGGAAATTTCCAGCAAAAAAAAAAAGCCGAAAAAGATCTGCTGCTGTAGCATCCCTGTTTGGGTACCAGTGCCTCTGAGTTTCCTGGCCAGTATCGTTGTATGTGGCCCGAAAATTGCCCCAAGTACAGTATAAAACGACAATGTATTATAGTATGTCCAAGGCCAGATGGAGGGCCCTCCTGCTGACTGCACCTGTGTTCATTTGACTGACGTGGAGCTTATCTCTCTTTGCTTGCACGATCGCATGGTGATGTTGACAGCTGTGTTGGCAGGAGGCCCAACTGGCCGGGACAGTGCGGCGTTGATTCGATCCATCCATCCATCCATCCATTGATTGATTTATGAAATGACACCACCACCGGAAGGCATGGGGACGGATGGTGGGAGTCGGCGGTCCGTGGAGGAGGTGCAGCAAAGCCGCCATCAATCCCCGTCGGACTTGAAATCGGCTACGCCTGTGGATGATGGTCATGCCAACCCAGTTCCTTGGCATCAATCTATGCTTTCTGCCAGGGCACTGAAGGAACTGGGAGGTGGAACCAGCTTCTTTTCTCAACAGATGGCGCTATTCAGATCGACGCCGAATCTGATTAATCTAGGACTAGGCGCACCGGGTTACGAAGGGTCGAGTGTAGCGAGACAGGCTGCTGCCGATGTGATGAATGCTTCCATGACGGGCGTGGGTGCTGATCAAGCAATCCCCATGCTCAACCAGTACTCGGCGACGTCAGGCCTGCGTAGTCTTCGGTTTGCGCTCTCGTCCTTTTACAAGAGGCAATTCAATGCTGAGTATGACCCCGACAGGGAAATCGTCGTCACGTCCAGCGGGACGGAGGCCGTTACGGCAGCGTTCTTCTCCATTCTCAACCCGGGAGACAAGGTGGTGGTCCCGCAGCCTGCCTGGCCATGGTACTTCCCCAACCTCCGGTTAGCAGGGGGTGTACCCATCCCGATGACCCTCAAGGCGCCAGATTTCAGGATTGATCTGGTGGAGCTGAGGGAGCTGGTTGAGAGAGAGGAACCCAAGATGCTGGTGCTGAACACGCCACATAATCCGACGGGCCATGCCCTCACGAGGGAGGAACTGGAGGGAGTGGCGCAGATTTTGGCCGATCGCCGGATCCTCGTTTTGTTCGACGAGGTTTATCAGAATATAGTCTTCCCGCCCGCAGAGCATCTTCGCATTTCGAGTTTTCCGGGAATGAGGGAGCGAACAATTAGCATTGGAAGTGGCGGTAAACTTTACGGACTCACCGGATGGCGTGTTGGGTGGGCTGTCGGGCCACCCCAACTGATCCGAGCCATCGACATGGTACACCAACATAGCACTGTTTGCGCGCCAGTCCCGTTGCAGCACGGTATCGGTGCAGCCCTTGACGCTGAAGATGGCAGCTTTGGAGGCGTTGTGCAGTTGCATGCAGGTAGTTATGCGATCCTGAAGGCGGCCTTTGAAGCCATTCCCGGCGTTCACGTTTGCCCGTCGGATGGCGGATACTTCTTCACTCTGGACATTGCTGCGACAGGTATGCTCGCGGAGGAGTTTTGTGAGATAATGCTGAAGGAGGTGGGGGTAGGTGTTGTTCCCATGAGTGCGTTTTACGCTACACTGTCAGACAGCGCGACAGCAAAGAACTTGGTCAGGGTTTCTGCCTGCCAGCGAAGGAGCCAGGTTGAAGAAGCAGCAAGAAGGATTCTAAAATTCTGCTCGGCAAAGTCGAGGAAAGAGGATAGCGAAGCATGATGAAAATGCTGAAAATCAATGGAGAAAGTGTAATGCTCGAGGCTTTTTTTCTGGGCACCTGGGCACCCAACTTATGCCCGGGTACACGCCCGGGTGCCCGGCCGGGCATGACTCCGGGGCAGGATTCTGGGCAGCCCCAGCACCCAAAAAAAAAAAAAAAAAAAAAAAAAATCCGGGAAAAAAATAATGTTGTGTAGAATTGCAATACAAACGACTTTTGGCTGAGGGTCACATTAGAATTCCTCACAGAATGGGAGATAAAAAAGAAAATAACAGAATCACACTAAGGCACCCCCCTTGAAACCCCTTTAGCCCCTTTAAAACCAATTTTTACTTCCCCCCTCCTTCCTCTCCTTGACAGCCAAATAGCAAAAAAAGAAATGAGCCTGGATTTGAGGTCCTCTGGGAGAGCGCAGAAAACCCAAAAAAAAAAAAAAAAAAAAAAAGTTTTTTTTTTTTTTTTTTTTGCACGCCCGGGTACTCCGGGCGTCAGATCCCCCCGGGTGCCCGGCCGGGCAGGACCGGCCGGGCGTGAGAATCTTCCTTGGTAATGCTGAAAATCAATGGAAAAAGTGTAAGTTTATCACAACTGCGGGTGCCTGTATGCATGCCGAGCTGTCAGGAGAACACAGCCGTCTGATTTTGTGATCGGTGGCGGCGGTTGGAAGCAAAAGTTCTGTGGGCCAACTTACTGCAGTTTGTGAGCATGTCAACCTGGCACACACACACAGACCTGTGGTGTTTTTTTGCTTCTTTTCCACGTGGTGCTTGCGTTCTTTTCCGTGTGGTGCTGGCTCTCTCTTCTCTTTTCCTTTGTTTGGTGTTGTTCCGAGGACATGCTTTGTTTCGTTTTTAGTGCTCCTGACAACGCCAGAAGAGCATGGTAGAGACGTCCAATAATGGTGGCGTTAGATTGACAGTGCTCGGGAGGGCGGTGTCGATCTCCGCGGCTTTGTTTATTTTCTTTTCTTTGTGTGGTCATTTTCGCGGGGCTTGGTTGCCCGACAAAACAGCTCGCTTGCCTCTCGTCAGCCCCTTTTGTGGTCCGTTGGCAAAATGTTTGAGGCCTCTATGTGTGAGCAACCCCCGCCTCCCTCCCTCTCCCCCCTGTAAAAAAAAGGAAGAAAGGCTTAGAGAGCTAGCACTCGGTACATTGCTCTGTGAGGCACAGACCAGACAATCTGTTTGCGTTAGCGAGCTAGCACTCGCTACACTGCTCAGGGAGGCACAGACTGGATAATCTCTTTGTGCCAAAGAAAAGCATCTTCATAACGACTGTGATCGCAGAAGCTGTTCAGTTGTCCTCAGTGCTACTGAGGCGGTCTGGCTGTCAAGTATAGCGCATCCACCCTATCAAGGGCTCACTCCACTTACCGTCGATTTTGCGGATTCTGTAAAATGAAGCCGGGCAAGCACACACACAGACACACCGAGTGGGCGTGGAGAGTGCGTTTCACGCCCGTGACAGATTAGCATCTCAGATTTACTGCTATTTTTATCAGGGGTTTGGACCGACAGTCTGCTAGGATTGCAGGGTTGGTGTGAGCTAAGTCAACCACTTTTTCTCAGGGGCATTGCTAACTCTGGGCGAGGTGGCGAGTCCTTATCCATCAGTCAAATGCATCTTGGGCAGACTGTCGGGGTTCAACCTCCTGACGAGTCGTTGAAAGTCTGATAAAACAGTCTGGCACAGTCATGATTTTTTTGTGGAGTTGTTTATAGCGAACATGAGAACACACACACACACA